TTTGTTGTCTCCCTGCCTCCCGCAGGCGGCGGGGCGCGGGGGAGGACCGCCGCCCCGCACAGCCCCGCGCCCCTTCGGCGCCAGGTATGTCCGAGCAGCGGGTGTCGGGCAGGGCGTGCGTGTCCCGCGGCACGCAGCGCCGGGCGGGGGGCGTCCACATGCAGCCGCAGGGGAGCGATGCGGGAGCAGTGGCTGCCTGCTCCTCCTAACGCAGCCAGCCGGCCGCCCGGAGCCTCGCCCGGGCCGGAGCAGCATTCTGCCCATTTCACGGGGGTGGAAACTGAGGCCCAGGGAGGAGGCGGGCGCTGTGCAGGCGCCTCTGGGGAGGCTGCCCGAGTGCAGCTGGGGGGCCGGTCCTGGGTCTGGGGGGGGGCTATAAAGAAACCCCATCCCCTCCCTGCTCTGGTGTGGAGGGAGGGGGCTGGGCACAGTGGGGAGCCCAGCTCCGGTGCCCGCTGCTGCAGCGACCCGCTGGTGCCCAGCCCCGGAGCCCCGAGCCAAGGGGCGGCTTTGCGGCGGGGAGCTGCCGAGTCCCACCTCTGCGCTCAGGGGCACGAGGGGGCTCAGCCAGGCCTGGGGCACTGACTATTGCCCCCCCCAGCCCAAAGCACCCCGTGACTTCCCCCCAGGTCCTGCCCTGTTTCTGAGGCAAGAGTGAAAGGGGAATAAATAAAGCACCGGCCTGCAACCTTTTGGCCACCCACATCTATTTTTAGCTGCCCCCTCCGCAGCAGCTGCTCTGCAGGGCTGGGGGGGGCACTCCACCCCCAGGGACCAGAGAGGGGCTTGAGGGCTTGCCCACTAGCCAGTCGCTTACACGGGCCCTTGCCAGGCTGCTTTAACCCTTTCAGGGCTCCATTGCCCCCATATGCATCCCATACCTCCAGTGTGCTCCAAACTGTGCTCCCCTGGTTCTGGAAATGCAGCCGTGTCTGGAGTGGAGCGCAGCTCCTTCCAGGTGGGAGATGGTGCCCTGTTTCCACTCGGTGGGTTCCCGGCGGGCTCCAAGTGCCACTTGGGTGGCCTGGAGGTTGGGGCCTGGTGCCCTGGAGGCCCGGACTCAGGTGCTGGCTCTACCGTGTGTGCAAGGCAGGTGGCTCGGGGCAGGGACTGCGCAGGGCCTGGCTGCTAGGGGCACTTGTGACTACTAATACAAGCAGGACCTGGCTGGGCTGGGTGTGATGCGCCCAAGCAGTGCCAGCTGCAGAGAGGGACTGGTTTCCCTCAACCCCACCCCACAGCGGGATGGGTGTCTTGAGCTGGGGAATGAAGGCTGAGGGGGAGAGGGCCAGGAGGCTCACGTAGGGGCTGGCTCTGGGCAGCTCCCATGAGGAGGTCGGTGCAGAGGGCAGAGCTGGAGCCTCCCTAACGGCCTGCACTTTGGAGGCAATTACAGTGCAGTGCAATCGGCCTGGCCTCCAGCCGCGCTGCCGGGTGCCCGCGCGGGGAGGAGCTGGCTCCCAGTGCAGACTGTTCTTGGCTTCCAAAATGCCGGTGCGGATGCAGCCAGTGCAGTCCGCCGGCCAAATTCGCTGGGAGCCAGGGGAGCCCTTGCCAGCGGGCATGGCCCATGTGCTGGATGCAGCAGGCAGCCCTCACCCTGCCCACTTCCCTTTAACAGATAGTCAAGGGGCAGGCGAGCATCGGTCTCTGGGGTGCGCTTGTGGCAGTAGCCGAGGTCGGTTGGTTCCCTGGCGGTTTTGCCGGGGCGGGTTTCACCCCAGGAGCCCTGCAGGGGCAGGTCTAGTGAAATGCATCCACCTCTGGGGTGGGGCCGCGTGGCGATGCTGTGCGGGGGGCGGTGATGGAGGGACCCAGCTGGAAGAACGGGGAGATGACTGATTCCTGGGGCCTTGCGACTGAGGCCCTGCCTTTCTCTGCTCCCTGGCGCTGGGGGCTCACCGTGCCAGTGCTCTCCTCCCCATCGCCCACAGCCTGCCCCTGCAAGCACGTGCTTCCAGGAGCTGCCCGGATTGCAGGGGAAGCCCGGCTGTTCCTAATCCTCCCATTGTTCTTTGTTTCCCAGAAGCAAGGCAGGCCCCAGGGACTTTCCTGTATGGCTTTTCTCCTCGCGTTCCCTCTGGCAGAAGCCGCCAGTGTGCCCTGCCCATCCCTGGCCTGGCATCATCCAGATCCCCTGGTCTGAGCCCGGGGCGGGCGGGGGCGGGGGGGTTCCCCACCAACCCGCCTCCCCAGAAAGAAGGGGTTAAGCCATGTTGGCGCAGGGAGTGCTGGGCCCTGGCTGCCACCTGTGCTGCATCCCAGCCCCATGGTTTGGAGCTGGTGACATCAGGGCAGGGAACCCGATACTGCCCTTGGCACCAAGCAGGGAATTTTCCAAGCCGCCCTGTTTGGGGGTTGCCAGGCTGCAGGGGAGGGGGAAGCCCTTGGCTTGCTCCGTCCCAGCTCCCCCTCCTTGCTGCCCCCATCCCCCTGCCTGCTGGGCCTGGCAAGGGTGCACCAGGGCACCCACCTAGGCCTGCGGCACTGCCCCCCCAGCGCTCCCCTCCCCCACTCCCCCTTGCATAGCCTCTGTTTCCAGGCACAGGAAAAACCCAAGCAGAGGATGCATAATTCACTAGGACACCCTGGCATGCGTGCGTGTGTGCAGCTGGGGTGGGGGTGCAGAGGGCTTCCCCTGCCGTGCTCCCAGCTGCCTTCCCGAGGAGATGTGCCCAGCCCTACCTGCAGCCTCGGTCCCAGTATCAGCCTGGCACTGGGCTGTCGCTCTCCTGCCTCCACCTACCCACCCAGCTCCCTCCTGACTGATCCTGCCTATTCCCCCAACTCTCCCTGGCCTCTGGCTGCAAGCTCTTGTCCCACCGCGACTCAAAAGGGAGCAACCGTTTGCAGATAAGTGTCCCAGCCCCAGGCCTGGGTGCACTCGGCTCGAGCTGGGGACAGTCCAGGTCCGTGCGGGTGCCGCAGAGGCCTTGTGGGAGCTCCCCTCCTTTGTCCAGTACCATTTAAAGCCCGTGCCCTTTCCGGTTCCCCTTGGGGCAGGGCGCCGGTGCATGCCCTGGACCCCTTGCCTCTAGCATGCTCCTGTACCTGGCCAGGTGCTTCTTTGCAGAGGCCATCCTGGAGCTCAGCAGGGCCTGGGATGGGGGAG